AAATTACTCATTTTAAAATATATTTTGAAAACAAGATGAAAGAAAAATCAAGTTTATTTGCATATTTTCTCGTTTGCATCAAACATTTAATAATTGAGAACTCTAATCCAATCAACAGGAATGGATGAAAAGAAAATACCGTTGATATATGTCGACGTTCAAAGCCAGAACTTTATATCTTGCCGTCTTTCAACGTTCCGCAGCGTTTCGAAAAAGAACAAATGCTAATATTTCCATCTATCTTGTTTATGTTAAAATGTAGATCGGTATTTAATTCTTCAAGAAGCTCTTTCAAAAGTGGATAAAAAAAAAGACTTTTAAGTGAAACTTTATGAATCTCGTATAAAAATCAGTCTATCAAGACATCGTTTCAAAGTGAGCTTAGACACTGTATTCGATATCTATCTGGACTTTGTAAGAATACTTTGTTTGGTGTCGAAACTTAACTCAAGTTTCACCGCAGGGATTGAAACGTCATGTTTAGGGTTGAGACCTAACAAAAGTTTTTAGCTTAGTGGCCGAAACGTCGCACTAACACCAAACTAATTAAAGGCCGAAATCCATGGAATATTCCACAATACATTACTCAATGAAGATATGACATTATTTTTTAATAAAAAGTTGGCGTTACTTAGTAAAGAGTTGACATTTCTCAATGGAGATTTGACATTATTTAATATAGAGTTGACATTACTTAGTAAAGAGTTGACATTATTCAATAAAGAGTGGGCATTACTCAATAAAGAGTTGACATTAATTAGTAAAGACTTAGCATTACTTAATAAATAGTTAGCATTACTTAGTAAAGAACTGACATTACTTAGTAAAGAGTTGGCATTACTCAATGAAGAATTGACATTACTCAGTAAAGAGTTGGCAATACACAATAAAGAGTTGACATTAACTAGTAAAGAATTTACATTACTCAACAAAGAGTTGACATTACTTAGTAAAGAATTGGCATTACTCAAGAAGAATTGACATTACATAGTAAAGAGTTGGTATTATTCAATAAAGAGTTGACATTACTTAGTAAAGAGTTGGCATTACTCAATAAAGAGTTGACATTATTCAATGAAGATTTGACATTATTTAATCACGAGTTGACATTACTCAATGAAGAATTGACATTACTTAGTAAAGAATTGGCAATACTCAATAAAGAGTAGACATTACTTAGTAAATAATTGGCATTACTCAATAAAGAGTTGACATTACTTAGTAAAGAATTGACATTACTCAATAAACAGTTGACATTACTTAGCAAAGAATTGACATTACTCAATAAAGAGTTGGCATTACTTAGTAAAGAATTGACATTACTCAAAAAAGAGTTGACATTACTTAGAAAATAGTTGGTATTACTCAATGAAGAATTGACATTACTTAGTAAAGAATTGGCATTACTCAATAAAGAGTTCACATTACTTAGTAAAAAATTTACATTACTCAATTAAGAGTTGACATTACTTAGTAAAGAATTGACATTACTCAATAAAAGTTGACATTACTTAGCAAAGAATTGACATTACTCAATAAAGAGTTGTCATTACTTAGTAAAAATTTACATTACTCAGTAAAAATTTACATTACTCAATAAACAGTTGACATTACTTAGCAAAGAATTGACATTACTCAATAAATAGTTGACATTACTTAGTAAAGAATTGGCATTACTCAAGAAGAATTGACATTACATAGTAAAGAGTTGGTATTATTCAATAAAGAGTTGACATTACTTAGTAAAGAGTTGGCATTACTCAATAAAGAGTTGACATTATTCAATGAAGATTTGACATTATTTAATCACGAGTTGATATTACTTAGTAAAGAGTTGGCAATACTCAATAAAGAGTTGACATTGATTAGTAAATAATTTACATTACTCAATAAAGAGTTGACATTACTTAGTAAAAAAATTGGCATTACTCAATAAAGAGTAGACATTACTTAGTAAATAATTGGCATTACTCAATAAAGAGTTGGCATTACTTAGTAAAGAATTGACATTACTCAATAAAGAGTTGACATTACTTAGCAAAGAATTGACATTACTCAATAAAGAGTTGGCATTACTTAGTAAAAATTTACATTACTCAATAAAGAGTTGACATTACTTTGTAAAGAATTTACATTACTCAATAAACAGTTGACATTACTTAGGAAAGAATTGACATTACTCAATAAATAGTTGACATTACTTAGTAAATAGTTGGCATTACTCAATAAAGAGTTGATATTACTTGGTAAAGAGTTCACATTACTCAATAAAGATTTGGCATTACTCAATAAAATTTGGCATTAGTCAAGAAAGAGTTGACATTATTTTGTAAAGAATTGGCATTACTTTGTAAAGAATTGACATTACTCAATAAAGATTTGGCATTAGTCAATAAAGAGTTGACATTACTTAGTAAAGAATTGGCATTACTTAGTAAAGAATTGGCATTACTCTATAAAGAGTTGACATTACTTTGTAAAGAATTGGCATTACATAGTAAATAATTGGCATTACTCTATAAAGAGTTGACATTACTCAGTAAAGAATTGATATTACTCAATGAATATTTGACATTATTTAATAAAGAGTTGACATTACTCAATGAAGATTTGACATTATTTCATAAAGAGTTGACATAACTTAGTTAAGAGTTGACATTACTTAGTAAACAGTTGACATTACTAAGTAAAAAAATTGGTATTACTCTATAAAGAGTCGTCATTACTTAGTAAAGAATTGACATTACTCAATAAGGAGTTGGCAATTCTTAGTAAAGAGTTGACATTACTCAATAAATATTTGACATTATTTAATAAAGAGTTGACATTACTCAATGAAGATTTGACATTATTTAATAAAGAGTTGACATTATTTAGTAAAGAGTTGGCAATACTCAATAAAGATTTGGCATTACTCAATAAATATTTGGCATTACTCAATAAAGAGTTGACATTACTTAGTAAAGAATTGATATTACTCAATAAGGAGTTGACATTACTTAGTAAAGAGTTGGCATTACTTATTAAATAGTTGACATTAGTTAGTAAAGAGTTCACATTACTCAATAAAGAGTTGATATCACAGTAAAGAACTGGCATTACTCACTAAAGAGTTAGTAAAGAGTTGATATCACTTAGTAAAGAACTGGCATTACTCAGTATAGGGTTGACATAACTTCGTAAAGAGTTCTTACATAATCCCTGCGATGCTTTATTTTTCTTGAATGACTACACAGACTGAATTAAGATATTTTACAAGCTGGTATCTGTATACGTCCAAATAAACTTAAGATATGTACCAACTTACTCAGTTTTAAACACTAAAAGCATCCAACTGTCTCGTAGGTTACCTCTTGTGAAAGTGCAACTCATTTTGTTTAGAACTAAAATGTTTAGAATAACATTATTTGAATTACAAACCATTAAACAGTTTTCTTACACTATTATCCTTGTGTTATCGATTAATAACACCACTAAATTGTTTTATATTGTCGGAAGGTCCGCTTTTCATCTATCTTTTTAAATAGGATTACTAATGGATCTTTGTCTTTTATATTTTAAATGTTGTTTTTTGTATTTTTTATATGCACTTGTTTCTTTAGAAGAAGAATAAAAAATAAATACTAGGCAAGCTGAAATAGCTTTAAAATAAAACTTTTGAATGATTGCCTGTTCCGCGTGGCTGTCCTTAAACGCTTCCCTTGTGTTTTCTTATTTTTTTTTATGTTACATGACACCTATTAGAAAGATAGCAAGAGACATCTAGTGGATTTTGGAAACGGTAATTCAAAATTAGAAAATTCTACTGAATAGATTTCAATAATCTCCTTACACGATGTTTTTGATGTTGTTTGTTTAATAAACTTATTAATTATTTCGAAACCAAAGTATATTACCCATGCATATTATGTTTAGCTTTGACACATTTTGACTATATATAAATGTATATATCAAATCAAAATTGCTTTGTTTTGTTGTTTTCTTTGTGCAAAGCAACACAATTGGCTAGTTATGCTCTGTAAGCCGCGGGGAATCGAGTCCCGGATTTTAGTGTTGTAACTCTGTAAACCTACTACTGAACTTCCGGGGGACTTGGTCTGGCACTCACTGGGGGCCTAGGCATTGTATTAGAGATGACCTGAATAATGTTTTATAAGAATTATGAGAAAATGATGTATTTTCATTACTTATGTTCTATAAAAAATATGAGAAAATGTTGTATTTTCATTACTTATGTTCTATAAAAAATATATGAGAAAATGATGTATTTTCATTACTTATGTTCTATAAAAAATATGAAAAAATGATGTATTTTCATTACTCATATTACAGTATACCTAGAAACCAGAAACTTGAGTTATTTTAGAAGTTTTCAAAACCTGTTGCAAGCAAAATAAATGTACTACATTCAGAAAAACCTCTTTCTTTGTACTCTACAGGGTGGTTTACTTATTTTTAAGTTACATCTTCAGTTATAGTTCATAATTTTTGGCCCCCCAGTGACACAGCTAGAAACCGGGTTTCGATACCGTGGTGGGCAGAGCACAGATAGACCTTGTGCAGCTTTGTGCATAATTGAAAACAAACAAACATAATTCTTGTTTAGCTCAGACAAGAACACAGAAAGGAGCGAAGTGAAAAGCGAAACTTTGACTTTCTCTTCTCTCAGTGCAATAGTTCAAATCGCGCTAGATAAACTCCAGAGCGGAGGACTGGTATCGATTTTGGACGATATTCTAGCCAACCAGATTGCTTGGACACTTGAAACCTGCGCGCTTGGAGAAGTGTCTTCAGCGTCAGCTCAGTTACAGCATCAAGCTTCGTCTTGATGAGGAAGTTTTTCGTGACGTTTCGTTCAAGGTCTCAGGTTTCCATTCTTACCAGAAGGTAGGGAACCTTAAAATAATAAAAAAGTTCGGTGTAAGTTAATTTTGCTAGACATAATCAAAATTTTTGTCGTAGCCTTTTCGTGTTATTTAGAAGATAGTCGAGCTATAGTGATGACTAACAACGATGATATGACAGAATTCCTGCAGAAGAACTTGGGTCCGAAGCGTGCAGTTCTTCCTTTGGTAATCTCCATGACTGTACTTTATACAGTTATTCTACTTACCGGGGTGGTGGGTAACATCTGCACGTGCCTGGTCATCGCTAGAAATAAGTACATGCACACGGCTACTAACTACTACCTGTTCAGCTTGTCCATATCTGATGTCTTGCTTCTGATACTAGGCCTACCGCAAGAGATCTATCTTTTTTGGCAGAATTATCCTTATATTTTCGGAGAATCGTTCTGTATCATCCGAGGTCTGACGTCAGAGACCTCTACCAATGCGTCAATCTTGACCATCACGGCCTTCACCGTGGAGCGGTATCTGGCCATCTGCCATCCTCTCCTGGCCCACAGGATGTCCCAGCTCTCTCGTGCCATCAAAATAATCGTGATTATTTGGATGGTTGCCGCTCTGTGCTCCATTCCAGTCGTCTTCCAACTTGGAATAGTCTATCAACTAACGAATAACAAGACGGTCATTGTGGAATCGGCCACGTGCGGTATAAAACGGGAACTACCCCACATTTTTGAAGTTTCAACTTTCCTCTTCTTCTTCCTACCCATCACGGTTATAACTTTCCTCTACATCTTGATTGGTTTGAGGCTTCGTCGTTTCACCGTCGGTCAGGCAGAGTCGTCTTCTGAGCTAACTAGAAGTTGTGGTAATCATTATTCGTCTCGTCGAGCGGTGGTGAAAATGTTAGGTGAGAACTAAAGAATTTCTTTATTGTGAAATGTTATGTTTCAGGGGCTGAAAGTTTCAAGGGAGACTTTCGGAAACAAGTAGCTAAATGGTAAATACCTTAATGGGATAATTATTATCGTTAGTTAATTAGTCATTTTCTTCTTCTTCTTTTGTTTAACTAAATGCTTTCTGTTGGTAGCTCTTAAAATAAAAACTTTTTTCTTTGAAGTCAAGCTTTCCAGTGGCTCAACGGTAAGCCTGCAGGCTTAAGACGATAAAAATCGGTTTCCAATACCCTTGATTTGCAGAGTACAGATAATTCATTGGAATAAAAACCAAAACTATGAAATTAAAAAGCCTTATAGCAATGTTAGTATCCCCACAGTGCATTCTCGTCTAATCTCTTTACAAACGTGAGTCCAGAAGTTCCAACCATCCAAAACTCTGTAAATCTATCATATTTTGGTAACAATTTCACACGCGGTATTGCTGGGCATATTTTTTTTATTCTTCTTACAACAGAGAAGCTTTTTTGTATTATATCAGCAAATCACAAAATCTTTTTTTTGTGTATTATTTTAAAACTCGGCCTTAAATCTCAAACAAACCTTTGTAAACACCTTCATCATGTAGCCTTCCCAATACTTACTTCCATCATTATTACAAAACTTATAGAGTTGTTAGTTCCCTGATCATGTAGCCTTCCCAATACTTACTTCCATCATTATTACCAAACTTAAAGAGTTGTTAGTTCCCTGATCATGTAGCCTTCCCAATACTTACTTCCATCATTATTACCAAACTTAAAAAGTTGTTAGTTCCCTGATCATCTTGTACTTACTTCCATCATTATTACCAAACTTAAAGAGTTATTAGTTCCCTGATCATGTAGCCTTCCCAATACTTACTTCCATCATCATTATTACCAAACTTAAAAAGTTGTTAGTTCCCTGATCATGTTGTACTTACTTCCATCATCATTATTACCAAACTTAAAAAGTTGTTAGTTCCCTGATCATGTTGTACTTACTTCCATTTTTATTACCAAACTTAAAGAGTTCTTAGTTACCTGATCATATAGCCTTCGTTCACTTACTTCCATCATTACTGCCAAACTTAAAGAGTTGTTAGCTGTCTGATCATGAAGCCTTCGTTATACTTACTTCCATCATTATTACCAAGCTTAAAGAGTTGTTAGTTTCCTGATCATGTTATACTTACTTCCATCTTTATTACCAAACTTAAAGAGTTCTTAGTTACCTGATCATATAGCCTTCGTTCACTTACTTCCATCATTATTGCCAAACTTAAAGAGTTGTTAGCTGTCTGATCATAAAGCCTTCGTTATACTTACTTCCATCATTATTACCAAGCTTATAGAGTTCTTAGTTCCCTGATCATGAACCCATCGTTAACTTACTTCCATCACTATTACCAAACTTAAAGAGTTGTTAGCTGCCTGATCATGAAGCCTTCGTTATACTTACTTCCATCACTATTATCAAACCTAAAGTGTTGTTACTTGCCTGATCATGTAGCCTTTCCTATAGTTTTAGTATATTCATTATTAACAAACCTAAAGCATTGTTGGCACCCTCATGAATGTAGTCTTCCCTCGTAACCTGACATATTTCTTGTATTTCATAGAAGAATGAACTATCTAAGACTGTTTAAGTAAAAGAAAATAACACAGGTTTCATGTTAAATTTTGTTTATTGCAATAAAATAAAAATATTGAACTATGTAAAATTATATAACGTGAGTATAATAGAATTTTAATTTATTAGCTATTCCTCTCATAAGGTCCAAAAATTGTGGTTTTGAAAAACCCTCCTTGTTATCCTGATTCTTGATACTGCTTCCTCTGTGGTGGTGCTGGGTCTCCAGCAGTCATCTGATTCACGACGACTGTGTTTCGTGCCTGCTCCTTCTTCAGTACCTCAGGCAACCGCCATATATTTGGATGACAGGAACTAACTGTAGTTGTTTCAGGGAGATCTTCCACGACACGATCATACCTACTTCACATACTTATAAGGAACGATGGAGCACGTTGTCTGCCAATGTATGTATCCTCAAAGTAGTCAAGGATGGGGTCATTTTCGGGGGAGGGAGATATTCTGTTGTAGCGATAATTCGTTCTTCTATAAATTATAAGAAATATGTGTTATTTTTACAATTCTGGTCAGTTATATTAACATAAGAAGATATAGCTGCGAGGGGAATTTGTCCGGGAACAATTTTCCTACAGGAGCAGTTGTCCGGTAGGAAGTTGCCCTACAACCGTCTTCCCTATACGTCTATCTATGACGATCTCCAAATGTAAAGCATTCTTAGCCCTCTGATCATGTTGTCTTCTGTATAATTTCATCACTATTACCAAACCTTAAGCATTGTTAGTTTCTAGATCATGTAGTCTTTCCTACACCTTCCCTATATTCAGTATTAACAAACTTAAAGCGTTGTTATTTCACTGATCATGTAGTCTTCCCGATACTTCCATCACTATCACCAAACTTAAAGCGTTGTTCGCTCCTTGGTCACGTAGTATTCGCTATACTTCCATCACTATCACCAAACTTAAAGCGTTGTTAGCTCTCTGATCATGTATTTTTCCCGATACTTCCATTACTATCACCAAACTTAAAGTGTTGTTAGCTCTCTGATCATGTAGTCTATGCTATACTACCATCACTATTACCAAATTTAAAGCGTTGTTACTTCACTGATCATGTAGTCTTCCTTATACTTCCATCACTATCGTCAAACTTAAAGAGTTGTTACTTCACTGATCACGTAGTCTTTGCTATACTTCCATCACTATTACCAAATTTAAAGCGTTGTTACTTCACTGATCATGTAGTCTTCCTTATACTTCCATCACTATCGTCAAACTTAAAGAGTTGTTAGTTCACTGATCATGTAGTCTTCGCTATACTTCCATTACTATCACTAAACTTAAAGAGTTGTTAGTATCTTGAATATACATATTTTACAAGTCCGAGAATTTATTTTGGCTTGATTTTCGTGGTTTTTTGCTTGTGTTTTAGTGAGACTTTCTCAATATAAAGAACATCTCTTCCTCCAGCCCCTCAGTGGCACAGCGGCGTGTCTGCGGACTTCCAACGCTAGAAACCGGATTTCGATATCAGTGGTGGGCATAGCACAGATAGCCCATTCTGTAGCTTTGCGCTTAACTACAAACAAATCTCTTCGTCAAGAGAAGTTTAGAAAACTCATTTTATAAGTATTGTCGAGACTTTTCTTTTATTTCTGGAAATAAATGGTTTGTTAAAGCATATCTGTATCGTGTAGAACCTTAAAGTAACTTTACATTATTCGCTTGAAAGGTCGATAACCTCTTCAAGCAATAAAAACGTCATGCATATTATATTTTTTGTTTGTTTTATCCAGGCAAAAAATTAACATCAACATCGTATTTCTCGTTAGATGGCGCTATAAAGATATGCCAACGTGTAATTTATTATTATTATTATTATAGTCATCGGTAACATTTCTTCAATGCTCCTTTACTGTTTCTGGTTTTAAGGAAGAGTAGTTTTCGAAAAGAAAAAAAGTGCAAAAAAAATTTAAACATAAGTAAAAGTCTTTATCGTTTCCTTCAAATATAGATCAAAGTTTTCACTATCTCCTTGAAATATAGATGTCAGATGTAATTCCGCAGGATCCCCAAAAGTGTTTCTGTTTTGAGAGTAAATAAAACCAAAATTAAGAGTGACAGATATTCTTATTTCTTGCTTTTGAAGTTCACATGTCATGCTGTGTTGTAGCAAACGGAGTTCATGATCCTTCTCGTGATTCATGGCATGCGCACATTTTACTGACGCCACGACAGTACAAACTGCAACGTTAAGCGTCCTTTATGTGACGTAATTTTAGTGTCTACTGACTGACTGACAGACAACACACTACTGTATAGTGGTGCGAGTGGTTAAAACAGATGGCCCCTCTATTGGCTTGTAACTTTTCTGTTACTAAGGTTTTGCTTTTCAATGTCCCAGTGGTATTGATCATCGTATATCTCGAGAAACAGAATTAGAATCGCATGAAACTTTTTTTTTAATTCCTGGTAAATATTGTTTAAGTTCGATATATCGTTTGATCTCCTGAAGATATACGCGCACAAAGAACACACATATATAAATAATGTTTCCATAGAATAATTTATCTGCAGTAACCTTTATTATTAAAAGGCCACACGAAACTGAAAGTAGGATCTTATGCTCTTAGCAACCGCCTCGTCTTCAACACCCGAGGAGGGATTACGTAAGGTTGTGGAAGATACGCTGTAGTAATGGGGAGGGTGGGGGTGGGGAGGAAAGGAAAACAAAGAGGAGGCGGAACACGCAAGTTGCGTGCATATTTGACAAAATAATAGAAAAGTCGTACTATAAGCAATAAATATTGTAATTTAATACTTATCATAAAAGTAGGGGGAGGACAAAGTTTCTGCAGATAGCTTGAACTATATATATACATTAACTATGTAAGAAGATCGGAGATTTTGAGAATTGTTTGTCGGCCTTTGGAAGCTCCGCTATAATAAGTTTGATTATCGACTGATCTTTGACATTTTATACTGACAGCTAATTTCCCATGATACGAAATTAGTAAGTAGATAAAAACATATGAAAGCTTTGCACTGAACTGAATATAATAGGTAAGTAAGTAGGAAATGGGAGTTTAATATAAGAAAATAAATTCAAGCCAATGTGTCTGAAATATGATTGCAAGGACCAACAGACTGATGTACTGCCTATTTTGAACTGATTTAAAAATAGCTATCTCAGCAGATATTTTTGTGTTGAACAAACTCTGTGAACAAACTTCGTTTCCCTCTACTTTGTAAGAAATAGACATGTAAAAACGATGACGAGTATGAGAAAAAAATACATATATTAAATCTGCGTATTTCAGCTATCCATAAAACAATATCCTGAGCTAGAGATTTTTCGTTAGAAAAATTATGTTATATTGATAAATAATTCAGAGAACCAG